TCAATAAACTCAGAAAAGGATGAAGTTGCTCTACATCCTACAATATTAAATATTCAGTTGTGATTTAATTCTTGATGTAACAATAAACTCCCACATTCATCTCATTACTATGCAAATCTGCTTTCATCTTTATAAATGGTATGCTTATAATACCAAAGAACTGTTTTAAAATAAAATTTTATAATTTGTTACAAATAAATGCTTGATTTATAGATCTATCTTATATACACATAGGCCCAAGTTCCTATAAAAAATTTTAGAGCAAAAGTGGGTTTCAAATGGGGAAACTTTAAGAAGTTCTAAATTAGAACATTGTAAAGAAGACCAAACTGAGTTATTGTAAATATCAGTGGAAAAGTGTCTGGCTGAAACCAATATTTACATCCTTGGAATAACATGAAGAACAAAATTACCTAGGCCAAAACCAAACCAAACCAAAACAAATCACAATTATTCAATCACTCAATGCATACTTAAAAGACAAATCAGTAAAAAACACAATGTTTAGTGTTGTTCACTTAAAAATTTTTTTCTAGAAATATTCAACTTTACCTCAAGGGTGGTGACCAACCAGTCACACATATTATAACATGAGGTCCTGGGCTAAGAAAATCAGTTTGTGGCTATAAAACAGATCAACTCTAACTAGACATAGAGAAATGGAATCCTCGACCTTTATCTTATTAGTACAGGCTTAAGCCCAGAGAATGAGCTCTCTCTCCATTGACAACATTCTGGTACCTCACTCCTGACTTAAATTACACTTTATACATCTGTACGAAAATTTGACGTGTTCCTATTACATAGGGAGGGTCAGAGAGATGTGCCTTTTAAAGAATCTCAGAGGTAGTCTTTTTTCCTCAGACTAAAGAGAGAATGGAAGCCCCAAAGTGTGGATGGTCTGGCTCAGTGGTTCCCAGTGGTGGTGGCACAGGTGGGACAGAAGACAAACATATTGGACTTCATTCTTGGGCATCTTTAACTGTGTGGAGTGGGTGGGCTGGTTCATGGGGAGGACGTCCCCTTACAGGCCCATGTCCTAAAAGGCAAGACAGCTTAATGTTAAGGACAGGGAGGGAACATTTCCAGCTGGGAAGTTCATGCAGAGTGGCAGATGAAAAGTCAGGTGCTTTGAGTGGCCTTCACTTGGGAGCTGTTGAGAAGCCTCAACGTGTTTTTGAAGAGAGAGTGCTGTAACATGTTTAAAATGTTTTCCATGTAAAATCACATTGGCTTCAGAATACCTCAGGATGTATATTTGGAAGGTGTGGACATGTGATATAACAACACGGAGGAAAAAGAAGGGGCTGAAGTAATTGGCCCTTGTCTGGGATATCAGGGAGTGATAGGCTACATCTGAAGAATGAGTTTAGTATTTACATGGTCTCATGTGTGGGGTAGGGTTGGATGAGCAAGAGGCAGAGAAGGAGAAGATTAAGTGATGCTGGACAGAAGCATCAAGTATTCACCAGCCAAAGATAGGGTGGAAAGTTGAAAGCAGGTAAAGAAGTTTTATTAGCATATTATGTTTTTCAAGAAAATGTGGACTAATGTACTGACTACAGTACCAAATCATAGGAAGAATAAAGTTGGTATCTAGATTCTAATGACATCTCTGTCTGTGATGGTGGCATTTAAGAATTTTTTATTTTAGTTTTTGGTGGGGACTTGGGGAGCAGTTTTTAAAATTCCTTATTCTTACATCTTTAAGATCTTTACTGTCTCCACTACCTTGGGCCACACGTTAGCAACATCTTGAGAGGAAGCTTTTCAGTGTCTTCTGGAGCAGAGATACAATGTCTCTATTACATCAAACCTCAAACCATCCCCATTTCTGTTGGCCAACCCTTACCAGGGCAGGGTTCCATGCCAGGCACAGCTCTCTAAACCTTTGGCTTTAATAGGCCTTCTCTGATTGGTTGTCTTTCATAGACTCTTCTAGGATAAGGGATCATGATACATCCTCTATATACATCTTTCCTTCTTGCTACTGGTTCTCCTCAGTTCTCACTACCACAGTATTTACGACTCAACACAATATGATGTTACTTTTGGGCACCTATTCATCTGAGGCACCTTGCAGGAAGCGGTGCTTGGGCTCGATAGCAAACACCTACAGCACTTAGGAAGCTGAGGTAGAAGGACTGCTGTGAATCTAAGGCCAGCCTGGGTTTCCATACAGGACTCTGTACCAAAAACCAAATCGAAACTAACAAAAACCCAACTAAAAGAAAAAAGGACTATTGAATTAATGTCTATGAAAGCACACACACAATAGAAATAGAAATATCGCCTAACATTATCTAGTGAGTGACTTCAGGGTGGAGTTTTAGAAAAAAAAAATTTTTGAAATCAATTTTAATTTTCTTGGGGCCAGGTCTTATGGCCTTTCTTTATTTCTCTTATAGCCTGCCTTTGGCCATTTCACCTTTTTGTTACTGAAGAACTGGGGGGGGGGGGGGGGGGGGGGGGGGGGTGTTGGGAAGCAGAAATTTCTGTCTGCTAATGAAGCTGTCCTTGAACAGCGTTGAAGCAGGTTAAATGTAAGGAGTGGAATCAATCCTCAGGTGGTGGGCTGAGATTATCAACAACTCTCACTAACCGGACCTTCCCTGCTGCTCACCCCTGAACCAATGGCTGCTCAACCCAGGAAGCTTATTTTAGGAACTCGCTTAAGTGCTACAGGGTTAGTTAGCACCTGTGTTCCGAAGCCATGCGCCTCGATTTGAGGCTTTGAGAGCTGGTCTCTACAGTAATGGAAGCAATAGATGGCGGTCTGCTTTTCTACAGCGATTTCACGCGCCTGAAGACAGAATTTAAGAGTTTATTTTCTGAAACTAGTTCAAGGGAACATTCCTTAAGTGAAAAAAAAAAATCAATCAAGAATAATCTCACTTACATTTTAGAGGAAGGCTTTTTAATATGGAATTTCCATCTGTGGGATATTTAAATTCTAGGCCTCGGGCAACAAAAGCAGAGAAAGGCCCCTGCACCCTTTATTAGATGCAAAACAAACAGCACACGCTGGAGGCGGAGCTTTCCTTTACCTCCCCACAGCTTTCCCTTTCCTCCCTGAGAAGTGTAAGGCTTGCCTCAGCGTCTCGGAAATGCTTTCTTTTTTTCCTTCCTTCTCTCCCTCACAGAAAACTCTCACACTGGCGTCGACACGGTCGCCCTAACTTTAATTACTTTGCATTGTTCTGTCTGCCCCCGCCCGAGCCTTGCAGGAAAGGGAAAGCATGAACTGCCCAGAGCCGGCGCGCAGTCCGTGAGCAGAAAACGGTCAACGTGGAAACGCAGCCACAGCTCGGTCCAGATTTGACGCGCGGACAAAGGCAGGGTTTGCCGTTTCGGAAGGCTCAGCCATCTTGACTGAGAACATCAAGCGGGCGCTCCCCGCTTATTGCCTAGGCACTTTACGAGGGATCTCTAAGTTGAGGCAGAACTCCCAGCATCCCTTACCGCCGAGGCCTAACCCGCCGGAGCTGTCAACACAGACCTCGCCGAGGATGCGGAAAGAGACGCGCAAGTTTCAGACTTCCATTACGCGTTCTCCCAGTCCCGAAGGGGGCGACTTGAACTCCGCGCAAGCCTAGAACTTCAGACCCTATTTGCCTTGACCTGTGGCATGTCTCCAGCCTCCCCCTCCACCCGCCCCCCGGGTGGCGACGGCGCGGGACCGGGGCCCGCTCCTTAATGGCTGAACGCACACGCTGAACCGGCACATGGTGGATCCGCCGCTCGGAGGACGGCCTTGGGGAGGGAGGAAAGAAAAAAAAAAAAAAAAAGTAAAGTGCCAAAGCAGACAAAGAAGCTGTAACCCCGGCAGCCTCTCGCATCCGCTCGGGCCGGCGCGGGAGCGGCGGCGGGGACGGCGGGCACGGCTGCACCTGAGGCGGCCGCCCGCGGGGGGCCGAGCCGCTCGGTCGCCGCTTTCCCAGCGGCCGAGGCGCAGCGGCGGCGGCGGCGGCCCCGGCACCAGCGCAGTTCCCCTCTCCCCAGCCCTGACTCTACGCGCACATGCGCACTGCGCCCGCAGCCCTGGACCATTTGTCAGGACTACTCGTGAGACGGAGAAAAAAAGAGAGAGAGAGAGAGAGGAGAAAATTTGGGGGTAAGGAGCGGTTGATCGGATCTAATCTCTAATTAATCCGCAGGCCGGCCCGTGCCGAAGGCGTCCCCCGGGTTTGGTTGTTTTCTGGCTTTTTTTGTTTTTTTCCGGGTGAGGGTGAAAGTTGTGAGACGTGGAGAGGGCAGGAAGCGCACCCTCGTCTTGGGAAAAGAGATCAGGGGAGGGGAAGGAGGAAAGGGGGCTTCTCCCCCGCTTCTCTGCGCCTCTGGGAAAGAGGAGAAAACTTAATCCCGGGAGGGGGGGGCGGGAAAAAAAAGTGGGCAAGTGACTCGGAAGCGGCTGGAGGGGGG